CGGGCGGGCCTCCGCCCCTCCTCTTCTTCCTGCTTCCCAGGCGCGCCGGACAGGGGCCGCCGGGCGCGGCCGAGGGAGGAAGCACAAAGAGCGTGAGTGCAGCTCCGAGCCCCGCGCAGCTCCAGCTCCCCTGCCCACGGGCGCCCGGGCCCTGCCTCTCCTCCCTCCCTCCCCCTCCACCCAATCAATCTCGGCTCTGCACTCGCCCTCCCCGGCCCCCGCCCGCCATTGGCCTGCGCCGCCCGTCCAACGAGACCGACGCGCTGCTCGTAGGAGGATCCCCCGCCTCCTCTCCTCTCCTCCCCCAGCCCCCGGCGGAGTGCGGAGGAGGCTGGCAAGGTGCTTTGCCATCGGATCCCCGCCCTGCTCTCCCCGCCTCCCGGCTTTATTGAAGCCGATTCCCAGCAGCCAGGCTGAGCGCGGAGAGACCTTCCCTCCCGAGCCCCCGGCGGGGAGATCGCTCTTCGCAGCCCCCCGCTCGGATCCGCCCTCCCTCCTCCCACCCCGCGCCTGCTCACGCGCTCTCCTCCAGCCCTGCCTGCCCGCTGCGCTCGACTCCGCTCCGGATCCGAGCCCAGGGGCGCTTCTCCTGCTAGAATCCCGGCCTTGACACGGAGTCATCGCCGCGGCCAATCAGCTCCGCTGGACCTCTTCGCCAGCGTTCGGATTTGGAACGTTGGCTTTTGCCCGCGTTCCGAGTCCGAATGCCAGCGCCGGGGGCTCGGGGAGGCATCGCTCGCTCGTAATCACTTCCTCGCCTCCTGGTTGAGAGGGTCAGGCTGTGGCTAGTCTCTGGCGGCTTTGCCCCCCGGGAGATTTTATCCCACTCCACCCCCAGCAAGCCGGGGGCTGAACTCTGTGTTAGGCTGGGCCACTACCGGCATCTTCCTCATCTCTTCGGCGGTTACATAGCGGGATCTCGAAATGCCCCTCACCTTCGCAGCGCAACCACTCCAGCTTTACAGGGCTGCTGAATGCTTTGATACACTCGCACAGGCCCCTGATTAGGCATCTCAGACAAGGAGCCGGGAGGAGAGGGAATTGTGTGAGGCTGATAACAATGGGCAATTTTGTTATCAGGGAGTGTGAAGTGCCGTGTAATAATCTCTATGAATGGCTTCAACACTTACATTCCACTTGCTCGTCCTCCTTACCTAGCTAACATGGTTTATCTCTGGCCAGGCTAAATTACACAACTTTTTCGCCCTCCTTCAAGCCCTGCGACCGCTCCGTTTGTGAGAGGTCACAAGACGGGGCAAAAGCCAGTTCTGTGATCAGCACGCCCATGCCTCAAATAATAATCAGTGATGAATCCCCCATCCCTGTCCCAGCCAACAGGTTTCGTATAATTAAAGGCTGACGTTTCCGATTTTCTGTCCCATAGCAATCTGCTCCCCCCACCCCTCCTTTTCCTTTGTTTAAGTTGTATTTAAATCTGCTTGGCCCCGGCGACACACACCAAACAAAAGGCATTGGGAAGGGGAGGGGGGATTCATTCAACAGCATAGAAACAGCAGCAAAACCAGTTTAGGAACACAAGAGTCAGTCATTCCTTAAACTCATCTGTTTGCGTGTTTTTCTACATTAAAAGCTCTCTTCACACCAATTGCCCTGCACCATAGCAACTTTTCAGTGTTGCTCCCAGGGCACTCCGATCAGGTGACTCCACAGACATTTTAAACGGATCTGCTCTCCCTCCCTCGTTGTCACCCCTGCTGCAGTTGTGTCCATAACAAAGAGCTGAATCCCTGTGCCCCACCCCACAGTTCAAGCGTGCAGCTGTGTCTCCACAGTATCAGCATGGCAGGAGCACAGCTCACAGACAGGATCTGTTTGATTCTCAAGCCTGCCGCTAGCCTTGGAGCAAGTGTGATTAGATCAGCTGCTACCCACAGTTCTGGTTTTGGCCACTTGCTTTGTAGGTTCCTCTTCTTCAAAACACCCGAAACAACTGACAGATGACAGAACAAGGAGCAATGGTCTCAAGTGGCAGCAAGGGAGGTTTAGATTGGATATTAGGAAAACCTTTTTCACTAGGAGGGTGGTGAAGCACTGGAATAAATTACCTAGAGAGATGGTGGAATCTCCATCCAGGGAGGTTTTTAAGGCTGGGCTTGACAAAGCCCTGCCTGGGATGATCTAGTTGGGGATGGTGCTGCTTTGAGAAAGGGGGTGGACTAGATGACCTCCTAGGTCCCTTCCAAGCTTTGTTTTCTGATTCTATGAACTACACAAAGATGTGTCAAGGGATACAGCTTTGACCCCCACCCTAACTTCTCCCACTTGCAACAAAGAAGAAAGGTTGCAGGGTTCACAACAAAGTGCACAGACTGCACTTCCCCCTTTAAAAATGTATAGGCTGTTTCTTGATTTTTTTTCAAGTTATTTCTTCGGTTAAAATCAGGTCTGAGACCCATATTCAAGCAAAACTCTCAGTAAAGGCAATGGGACTTTTTGCCTGTTCTGGTTTTGTTCCAGCTCCTTTCAACTGTGGTGCTGCTGTTTGTTCTGTGCTCGGTTCCTTGACAATAGAGGGCGCTCTTGAGATACTCCAAATATTTGGGTCAAGCACTGGAATTGTGCTCATAAAAAAGGAGAACATACATTTCATCCAGGGTGCTTTATTGTACTATTGTTAAATTTGACAAGTTTGGGATTCAGCTGCCTAACATCTGCATGGGTGTGAGTGTCCAAATGCACAGCCTGCAGCAAATGTGACATTTCCCTACAACTGCCCTGCCAGATAGCTCTCATTTTGAAGGCTCAGGGCCACTAAATTAGCTGAGACAGTAACATGGAAAGGTTAAAGTTCAGTATTTCAGAATAGGCAAAGATCTGACAGTGTGTGGATAGCCATGCACACTTGCTATTGTTATAAGCTCACATCTGAATCCACTCCTGAACTTTCACTTTCTAGCCCTTTTAAAGACCAGAAAAACAGGTGAAAGTTCAGGAGCCGGTTCAGATGTGAGCTTATAACAATAGCAAGTGTGCACGGCTATCAACACTGTTGTGACTTGAAGATGTCAAACAAACCACAGCCCTGATTTTTAGCTGTCTTTATCTCTTGCTTTCCCCCCAGCTGCAGCCAAGAAGCAAAAGAAGCAAGCATCAGAAGGCTCAGAGACCCAGCTTTTTTAAAAAGTGAAATTATATCAGAGAAAATGATAGAAAATGAATGTTGGACGGGACCTCAGGAGGTCATATAGTCCAACTCCCAGCTCAAAGCAGGACCATCTCCAGCTAAATCATCCCAGCCAGGGCTGTGTCAAGCTGGGCCTTAAAAACCTCCAAGAGTGGAGATTCTACCACCTCTCTAGGTAACTTGTTCCAGTGCTTCATCACCCTCCTAGCGAGAAAGTTTTTCCTAATATCCAACTCAAACCTCCCTTGCTGCCACTTGAGACCATTTCTCCCTGTTCTGTCATCTGTCACCACTGAGTCCAGCTCCAGCAAACATGTAACTGCATAAAATGAAGTGAACATATAACTGGGTAAAAGTCAAACGCCTGCCAGAGCATTCATGGATTTAAAACAAGCTATGGTTTGTTTTCCAGAAGGAATGTGCGATGCCTTAACTGTTCCCCTGCTGATACAATCTCTGTTTCCAGACATCCAACATGAATCTCCTTTTGGTCTGCTTATGACATTGGTGTGAGCCGAGGAAGGCTAGTGGGGAATCCAACCTGGACTTTCACTTTGCAAAACAGGTCATTCCATTTCCCACTATTATTTGGCAATGGAGGCAGCAAGTATCAGCAATAAGTATTTAATAAATGCACCTCTCTGATATTTTCGTACTTACATCATGTTTAACCCTGTGGTGTGGAGTGGAGCTGTGGAGTCAGAGCTTCATCCTATTCTCCTAGACGATGGGACCCTTTGCAAATTAGGACCTGTACAGCGGATAATTGAGAACATGTACATCACGAGCTGTCCTGCGGAGGGCAGAGGAAAGGGTCATTACTCCAACCTATAAAGGAGATTGACATGAGCCTGGGTTTTGCAGCTACTGACTAAGCCTGAAAATAGCAGGTGCAAAAAGCATTTGGAAGTCGCTTGCCAGAGCCTGGGAGGTAATGCGCTTCCTGCCCATTTATCTCAGGAAACCAGCACAATCTTCCCTCCGAAACAAAGTTAACCTCTCATTAGCCAGAAACTCCTGAGAAAGCTTTAAAAGCTTTGCAGTCTAGCTAATGTGTTTAAGATACTCCCCCCTCCACCTTCTCAGGCACTGCCATGGCAATTACTTGCCATCAGTTCCACATCGGGCTGGCTAAGGCAGGCTGAGTTTGCATTTATCCGCTGTGAGGCTGACAAGCCCAGAGCCTGTCAATGCAGAAAGGAAGCGCGGCAGCCAACTTCTTGCCTCTTTAGAGCTCCTCGAGAGCTTCCTGACATGAAGCTCAGCATTCTCATCTCAGGCATCACACACACACACAGAGCACACAATGAACACACACACACAGAGCACACAAAGAGCACACACCCCACACAGAGCATACAGTAAAACTGGGATTTGCCCCCTCTGCCTTGTGACCTTTCCTCCACTCAATGCCCAGACCTGAACCCAGCAACGACCTTTCAGTGCTCTTTTTTTCTCAGCTAAAAAAGCCAAAGCTCCATAGAGCAACATTGCAATGTGTGTTTATTGCAATGGGTCTGTGTTTGTCTATCTATCTAGACACACATCCCAAGGAACCCATGTAGAGTGTGTGTGTGTATTGCAATGTGTGTATATCTATCTAGCTGGATACACATTGCAAAGATCCTGTGTAGTGCGTGTGTATTGAAATGTGTATCTATGTAGATACACACTGCAAGGAACCTGTGTCTTGTGTGTGCGTGCGTGCGTGTGTATTACAATGTGTGTCTCTCTAGCTACACACACACACACACACACACACACACACACACGATCCTTGAACGGCTCCAGGCTGACATCAGGCACAAACAATCCGGAGTAAGAGATGTTTATTTTCTCAGATGGACTCTGCAATGTGCAAACATGTAAGTGGTTACAGATGTCCGTCTGGACCTATTTTC